AGGCTTACAAAACTGTTACATGTTTTATTAATACACATACATTTCTGCTCCAACAGCTGAATTATCCAGTAATGAGCAAAAGAAGAGATCTTAGTCCCTTACTCGTACTCCTAAGCTATATAACTTTTCATGGGTTTTTGCAAACGCAGTTAAACTCTGCAAAGTGTGAAGTGAAATCAGCAAAACAGAAGTATGCTTTCTGTGCATTAACACAGCATGTTGGAAAATACATTCTGCAGGTTTTTCCTTACACTGCCTGAGAGGCTGTTCAGCAGCCTGTCATTACCCTGAAGTGCGTTATGCCTTGTAGATATTTATTTTGTGTCTATAGGTATTACAGGTCCAGTGAAAACTGATTTAATAGAAAAGTTAGAAAAAGAATGCTCAGGTTTGTGAGCTGTAGGTAGTGCAGTTATTACAGAAAAGTTTGAGTGCGTTTAACTTTATCAGTCTCCAATTAAAGACATCATTTAAAACGCAGATGCTAACAGCAGCATTCGGTGAGGCGGCAGGAGATTAACAAGAGGGGTAAAGAAGGGTCAGCTCAAAAGAGAAATGTGTGCCCAATGCACAGTTCAAGCAGCCTTAATCAGGATCTGCTGACAGAGAGGCATTGGGATGGATAAGAGCTTCCAAATTTCCACCTTCTGGATATTTATGACTAAACTAGACAAAGCAGGGGTACATATATTTCCAAGCAACAGTTAACTGCTGAGCTAGATGTCTTATGTATCTTCTGTTTCTGCTTTCAAACTACATTCAGATACACAACAGGATCATCAAACTAGCCCTGAGCATAGAGTTTCCATCCTAAACCTGAGCAATCCCACCAGCTACTGCTGCAGGAACAGGGAGAATGTTTTGTACATCAGTGAGAAAGAAAGAGAAAAGGACAGGCCAAGATCTGCAGGTCCTTGTCCAATATATGCCAAGGGCTGTGCATGGAGCCCCTTGCACTGCACTGCACCACTTTTGCAGCACAAGTTGAAACATCCCTAAATATTTCAAACTGTAGTTAAGCCAGGAGCTCCTCACATGGCTGCAGAAAGCAGTGCTCATTCATGAACTAAGTATTAAAGAGTGAAGCTACACTTTCAGATGAAATCATTAAAGCAGCATAGAGGCTTTAGATGTGCATTATCCTTTGCTAGTTATATATCTGCCAGAGAGCTAATGGCAGCATGACTCTATATCCCCAATGGAGTTCAAGAAAAATGGAGAGGAGCCTTACCAAAAGTTTCTATGATGTTCTAACTTTCTGTTAAAAAGGAAGATACAAATAAACAGGAGGTAGCTATTTTGTAAAACACAGCAGTAACATTTCTTCATTACATCGATGGAGCAAACAGTAAATTACATTGCCTGCCAGAGTTTGAGGGAGGCAATTGAACATGAGATGAAAATACTGTTTTACACAGGAGGATGTATAGTATGGGGAAGGCAAAAAGCAATAAATATCTGTATCTTGCAGCAAACATTGCCTGAAGGGAGCCACCCATACCCACATTTATGTACACAGAGCATTGAACATCTGCCAGAATTATCTGATGGATGCTCCCTTCCCAAGTACAAATGTGTGAATATAAACCAAGGTTCTGAAAAGTAACTACCAGAACTGGGGAATATCACTTGCATGCCTGACTTGAGATATTGCAAAACAGAGCCTGTAATTCAGACAGTTCTGGGTAATTGCCCCTCTACTTTTGTTCTTTTGGTAGGAATACATTGCATTCCTGATCTTGAAGTGCCTTACTTTGGTAGCAAAAAAGAAGGGAAAGAGGGAAAAAAGAAACCAGAAAGAAAGGTACCAAACTCTAACATAGCACAGAGGAGGAGAGGTAAACTGTACAGTCTCAACCAAAATAAAGAAGCTATTTCTCAAAGACAGAGATGTGACAGTGAAGTGTGAAATACAGCAGTGAACAACCACTGCAAAACCAGAAGTTACACTGTCTGAAGGAAAAGAGTCCAGGCAAGCCAGTCTTGTTTCCTGCCACTGGGCAGCTCACCTCACTGCAGGACAAACTGCACATTTCACCTGTCTCAGCCCCAGAAGAAATACATTGCACTTGAATTAACAAATTTTATTGGCATTGTAGTGCCTGTAAAGGATCATGTCTCTTTAGGCTGAACAACAACTGTGGTTGGAAAATCACGATGCCAGCCTGGCCTCCAGCAGTACCAGGATTCGCTGCCCTGTTCTGTATCAAAAATTAGGAGTATTATAATTCAGGACATAGAAAAAGGGTCATCCTGCTGTACTTTAACTTTGCACTTTGAATATAATAAAGGAAAAAAGCTCCATACTATGAATAAAACACCTCCAATGGAAAGGCCCAGGACCAGTATTAAAATGCCTGACAAGCTCCTTACAAACTGCAGCATTACCTCCAAAACAAGAAAATGCCAACATTTACAGGACAAAATCATAGAAGCTGTAAATAGGAACTGGCACTGCATGTGATAGTGCAAGGCAAGGCCTGTTACACAAGTACAATGAATGCATTTTTAAAGAGGAAAGATCATCAGCTGAGCTGGTGGAAACTGATGGGAACAGCAGCTGTGAGCTGAACGGGGGGGGGGGGGGGGGGGTAGTCTCAGGAAGAACAGGAGCTTGACTGTCTGATGCAGATTTAGTGAATGAAGACAGATCCAGCAGTAGTCTGAGGCTGCAAAAAATGGGGGGGGGGGGGAAGGTGGGGAGTCCAGAAAGAGCCTGTAAAGGTCTTAGGGAAGAGCTGGGGCCACTGCTTGCTGCTGTGGGATTTTCTCAACAGCAGATCAGTACGGTCTCCATGGGAGGATGTCCTGATGCACTTGGACTGCATCCAGAAAGGCTTTCCAGCTTCCAGCCCCGATCTTCATCTCAGCTTCTGCAGCTGCACTTCACCTGAGACATGGCCCCACGCTCTTCCTGTTCTCCTCCAACCTCCACAGCCCAAATGGTGGGTTTTCCACAAGAGAGCCATGTCCCACTCTGGCCGAGTCTTTGACTTTGGTGACTTGAGAATCAGACCCCAGGGCACCTTCTTTCATGAAGTCCTGTAATGAAGAGCTCCAGGCTGTCTAAGCCAAACTTTCCATTAGCGTCTCAGGTTATTTCAGGGCATGCCAGGAGATGAGATTTTCTGCCCAGTGCCTTGAGCAACTTTGTAAGACTTGGCAGGACTTGTAGACTTGCCTGTGCTGTAGGCAAAAAATAGCTTAAACTGTGAATGTAGAGAGGAGGCAGATAAGTAGGTGTTACTGCGTGTTGGGGGATGAATGTCCAAAACTGAGCTTTTGAACTCTTTCAGTTAGAAGGCTGCTACTTGCCTGCTGCAACTGGTATGGGCTGGGTATAAATTCTGACAACAGCTGGGCTAAACAGAAGTGGCAAATCCTGAATCCTCCAATGAATAAAGAAACCTGAGACCAAGCCATCAGTCATGAGGCAAATGTGTTGAGCAGGGACATCCATTAGACCAGGTTGCTTAAAGCTCTGTCCAACCTGGCCTTGGACACTGCCAGGGATTTTATTAAGCATGATGAAGTATGAAAAACAGAGCACTGGGCTTTGGTTTCTCAAGGCTGGCAGTTGAAAACAACCAAAAAAGACGTTCTGTTCTGCAAAGCAATTGTATTGGGTATGAAAATGGTCCAAAAAATGAAAAAACTCTGAACTTTCCACTGGCATTTTTATCTCAACATTTAGAGGAATAGATACATCAAAGATACAGTTGAGTTCTGGGGTGTTTACAATACACCGTTTAGGAAAGCTGCTGAAAACTGAGATACAGAATCAATTCTCCCTATGTGTGCCTGGGCAGATACAGATGGGAGTCCTTCCAAAATAAAACTTTGTTTCTGAGTGCCTAAGTTAGAACAGAACCAGAAAGACTTCACGTGCTTCAGTAGTTTTCAGTTCACTCTCAAAGTCAAACCAATCCATCAGGCTAGGAGTCAAAGATTGTCCAGCATAAATTATCCACAGAAGCCATGACAAGCACTTCACAAAATTCCACATCCACAAATGTAAAGAGCTATTGAGCTGTTTAAAAAACACTAAAGAAGCTGCTGTCTAAAGAAAAGGTGTGCTGGGCACCCGTGACTGCAAAATCAGAGAAAGGCCAAACCTGAGCAATCCAACCCACAGTACAAATTGCCAGTAAGCACATGTATGTATGTGTACACACACATACACTACACAGGACCAAATGCACACGGCCAGCAACAAAGATCAACACACACTGGAATCACAGTGCTCTCACAAACAGCACCAATGGCCTGATCCATTTCCCCTCTCTGGCTGATCAGGATGAAAGGCTGTTAATGGAAAAAACATATACACATATATGCACATATACACACATGTACATATATAGAGACACATTATCAAGCTCTCCAGCTTCTGGTTTTAGACATTCAGTCTCCAGCTGCTGACGCTGAAGAAACCAGTTATAAATGGAGTTCAGTCAGAAGACAGGAAAGACTGAACTGGTCAGGCACGGGACATGGACAGAGAGACACCTCTACTGACCATCCCCAGCTCACATGTGATTAACTGGCCCCCTTTATGTCTACATTAATACAATCATAGAACTCCATTTTTCCCAAAACACTTTGATCCTTTCCCTTCCCACCTTAGGCTCCTGCCCTAAATGCCTAAGTGCAACCCCAAAATACACTTCCCACTGGTGCCAGAGAGGCCCTCAGCCTGTGGCTCCCTTCGTACATTTAGACATTAACAAACTCACTAAAGCACCTCTAAAAAGATGCAGAAGCCTCACTTTACCTGTGCCCTCATCAAAAACCTTGGGGTGGAGGTGGGATTTTTCAGGATTGCCTATGCGACACTGAAATGAGATTCATTATCAATGAAAAGACAGCTCTTGATCTTGCCTGACCGCCTCAAGGCACTCACTTGCCATTCCTTGGATAACTTCAAAGGTAAATTCTGCATTAAGACAGCTATTTTGTCTAGTGATGTAGTAGCAGTGACAGGCAGGATAACAGTGAGCTAGCAGGGTAATATTACTGTAATCTTTATTGATACAGAAGATTTAAGTTACAGAACATTAGGCAAACCCCCCTCTTACTTGCCCAATATTTGAGTATGAACAGTTACAGACAAGAAAATGATCCAGTTACTTATAGTGCAGCTAATTATTAAATTACATTAAAACTGTTAACAATATTATATTGTAAAATATGAGTGCATGTACAGTATATAAATATAATAGCCTTCTGTTCCTTGTCAGGAACATAAGCCAATCACATACATTTTTCAGTTTAATTTACCTTGTGCTAAAGTATGTTTCCATCTTATATACATATTCATGTAAACCATACCTATTAAATCTCTCAGTTTCACTCCCTGCGTCTTAACTTGCAATTTATATTACAGTACTTTAAAAGCTGAATGAACACTCTTATTATTCAGAAGAGGTTTCTGTCAGAATTTCCTCTTTTAAATCTTTGGCAATGTTTCACAGGAACTCTCTTATTATTCAGACTTAGTAGTTTTTTACTACATGACATTTTAATCTCATCCAAAGCAAGATACACTGATTCCTGACTCTTTCTATCTGAAAGAGCAGGCCATGCAAATGCACTGTATGAGTGTTAAAGTAACAGAAGTCCTACACTGTAGGAGAAAATTGACATTGTGCAAAATATACTAATAAACATTCTAAAGATTCAAAAGATACAACATTGCTAGACATGACAACACTGACCCACTGCACAGACACACTACTTCATACCTGGTCAGTCAACGGCAATGCACCGGTTTGAAGATCTGCTCCTTGACAGGCTGCACCCTGGTCAGACACAGCAGTAAGATGTGTAAGGGTTTGTATTTGAGCCAGGTTATCCATAGTTTGATGGCAAAGATTAGATTCCTCAAACCTAGCAAGCTTCTCAACAACTTGCCTGACTTACAGAATGATCTGCTGCATTCACCTGGGTACCAAGGCTGCCTATTCAGGTTGTAGATACTCAGTTCAGCAAAGCTTCATTAACAGTACCGTGTCACTTGCACTGTTACTAACTCTGAGTGGTCAAGTCTTTCTGCACCCTGTCAGAAGCACCTTCTCAGAGCTGCTCAGTATGACACAATTGATGCAGAACAGATGGTATGAATGGACATGACAGTCCTTTATTCTCCAAACACACACAGGTGGAAAGATGCATAAGTAACAAGAAAAAATGACCTGCATTTTAATCTTACCAGACCTACTAAAAATGTTCCATGTAGAAGTATTTAAATGTCAAGTAAAATATGCTGCACAGAAATACATTCTATGATCAGCATGCAATCAGGTAAACAACAGATGCATTATGAAACAGATGAAAATGCTTAGATTCAATGTCTTTTAAAACAGTTTAAAGACTAAAAATCTTTAAGATGAAAAGCTGAAGTGACCTTTTGCTTCTCTAACTACCTGTGTTTGTTCCTCTGTGGCACTTTCATATGAAAGGTTTATTCTGAAGTATCGTACCTGCAGAGACTCATCCCTTTAAAGTGCCTGCCAAGTATTTAAGTTTACCCATGCTACAATGAAAATGAACATTACTGTATCTATTAGCTTGAACAAACAAAGGCAGTTTGAACTACATGTTAAAATAAATCTTTGTCAGAAATGCCCTCATCAAGATGGAGATGAAAGTGCTGAAATACAGTCACCACACAGTAGATAACTGGGGAAACATTCTGAAGGGAAAATATATAGATGTATAAAGCATTATATTACTCTAGCACTGTAATGTGTTTCAGTAGTTCTGAGAAATATACTGAAGGCAAGCAAAATGTAACACATTTCTACCTTAATTTGTACAAATACAGTAGAGAGATTTTGGCATACCATATTTCTTGGGGGGAATGTTACCATTAAAAATATTCCTTAGAAAAAGAAATTTCTTCATAACAAGAATGAGCATGATAAATACAGTTCTGTTATCGTACAAAATATAGTGCTTTTAGAAAACAAGACCCGAAAATATAGCTTTATCATTTGGAGTTGAAGTCATCTATGAAGTATAAGCCCAAAAGCCAAACATGGACCCTGAAAAGTCAGGATTCCAGTTGGGAACTTGGCGTTGCAGACTTGGTGAACAAATCTCATTTTGACTCAATTACTGGCTCATCAACTTGTTCTTTTTTTCCTTCCAAAATAGACAAAAGAAGCACAAATCAGTAAAGGGCATGTTAGATCCTATTTAAGGCAGAATGTAAGAATGCTAAAATAATGACTATGTGTTCCAATAGAAATATAGATAGGCAGTCTATAGAAAGGCAGTCTACAGACTTCTAGTAACAGATAAAATAATCCAAACAGTATTTCATGCATTTGTATAGCTGAAATCAAGGCTCAAGAAACGGTGTAAAAAATGGTCAGGACAGCAGTTACCTAATGTACAAAATTAAACTGCTTATCATGCAATGTTTTTGCATTGTGAAAGTAATATTGCTCTGAGAAACAACATCCTGCATTTTTTCATTCAAAATTCAAGGGGATATATAACCGCTTTCTAAAAAATACTGTATTTTCACATGTACACCCTAGGTCTCATAAACTGTACCTCTCCACAGAGCACCAGTAGTTGAAAGCAAGTCCTGAGTCACTTCTTCAGAAAACCTGCAGGCAGGTGGTGTGCTTGTAGTAAGGGCTTCAAAACAGACATCCTGGTGACCCCCCAGCTCACAGTGCTGTGGAATCATAAGCTCTTTCACAAATAACTCATACCTTTTATGTAAGAAAGTATGGCAAAAGCTCCATTCTAGAAAGTTTTGTCTCATATTTTCCTTTCTCATACAGAAATTAACATTGTGAATCTTTTAAGCTGCTCTGACAGTCAGACCTCTGTGGCTCTACTGAGCATCACAGTTGCCATTTCCCTGGAGCAGGGGTCTGGCATGCTGAACATCTCATGGTACAGGAACATACAGTAACAGATCACAAAAGGTGGCAAGAACACTCCTAACTAGCTAACTTTTAGCCTAATAAAAGGTCCATCCTTTACCTCTAAACCTTACCCTACAGTCTTGTCCATTCTTCAGCTTGGACATTAAGATGGTCAGCATGAAAGAAACGCCTTTATGCTTACTGTCATGTAACCCACCAGTAGCAGTAGCCTGCTACACTAGCCACAGATGGCTTGGTTCCTCCAATTGCTTGAAACCCCCCCGTTGGAGCCAACGTGAAAAGACTGAACAAGAGTCACAGTCATTCTGCACAGTACACTGATTCCAGACATAGTGACTCCCAGGAACCAGAGCCAGGCAACTGCAGCTACCCAAGAACTTCTGCACAGCACACATTCAAGTCCCCGGAAAGGCAATGAAAAACACAGCTGCTCTTTTTTACAAATGCAGTGCCCTGGTTCACTGGGGTGCACTTCACCCCATCAGAGGCAGCAAGAGAAGGTCCATGCATTATCGAGCTCTCACTCCAACCCTTACAACAGAGCTGGAGTGAAAATAGTTATGCCTAGACTTGCTGCCTCGATATGATGAATGGGCTGACTTCCATCTTTTCTGACAAAGAAGGAATCCTGACTTCCTTATTAAAAGAATCTTTCTTTTCTTGCAAATAACCTAAAATCATGTTTCCTTCCTATTTTCATGTATGTGCTTTAAATCCTGACATCAATTCAGTTTTTCACTACATGAGCAGAGGCTGGGAACAAAGGAGTTAATTCAGGTAGCAGATGGGAAGGAATGAAGGAAACAACAAGCAAGAGAGTAAGAAAAGGTTGCATGCTATTTTTCAAAATTCATTTAAAATCCATTGGAATTTGTCCCATACATAGGTCTGCCATCCATCTAGGATTTCTTGTTAAGGAATAAAGTTCACAGTGCCTGGTTATTACTGTAAACCAGCCGCCACGTTTGTAACATTGACATCTGCAGCGATGCTCTCTGTTGCATTCGCCAGAACTGTGGATGCAGGATAAATGATTTCTTCAACTGTCACGTATGTCCCTGTTAAAAATCCAACAACTCCAATGACAGCTATAAAGATGTCTTTGAATACTGTCCATAAATTTAAGTTTTCCTTGTAGAATGTGAGGATTTCAACCAGAGGTGGCAGAATCAGTGCCAGAGTGCTGCTGCTGACGGCTCCAACAAAAGAAATCACCAGGTCTAGGCGAGGGATCAAAACCGCTACGGCACCTGAAACACAAGAATAACAATGGTGGCTTCAGATTCAACATCCGCATGAAAAACAAAACCATGACAAACACATCATGTAGTGGTTCAGGCTGTTTAAGAGGTTTTATCATTCACTGTTTTTCCAGCTACAAGTGGTATGCCCTATATACTTGTCTTGACTATAGCTTATTAACGCTTTGTGATTCTACAGATACATGATAGGCACCTTGTGACCAAAGGAAGCTTGGGTAGAGAAAGAGGTGTCCTTCAGGTAACCTCAGGAACACCTAACACTCAAAAATAGCTAAGATAAGTCTTCTATCCCACTGTTACGATGGAACCTACTCAATATCAAACAAAGAGTTTCTTCCACTGCATGAATATGACATTTAAAGACTGGAAATGCCAAACGTTTATACATTAACTAGGACAAAGCTGAATAAAATGAGAAAGGAATTATGCCAAAGTTAATAGAAGTCACAAAGTACCCACCTCTCTAAGTTTTGCAGCCACAATTCCATTCAAGCTATAAATTCAAGCCCTGCGAATGCCTGAACAATACAGGATGAGCGCTCAGACCAGACTGACTGGCAAGCATGCTTGATACTTGCACAGCAATGCACAGTCCGTAAGTAACTTAAAAGGGCAGCAGAAGCGTATTTGCAATGTCTGGTAAAACTCTCAGCTAATGAACATGTTGAATGTGTTCTTCTGAAGTATAAGAGATGGCGGCAGATTTAAAACTGTTAAAAAAAAACCTTTTCTTAACTGAATTTCTGAAAAAGCATGCTTTTTAATGCAGCTCAATCTCTAACCAAAAACTAAGGAGAAAAAGGAACAAAACAGAAGATAAACTGCATTTATACTATGAGGTGACAAATTCTACTTTCACAGGTGAAAGATTAAGAGATACAGCTTGCCCACAAGACAACCACAAACACCATATGGCTTGGCTTTATTCCCTTTGGAATGAAAAACTCTTTTATCATTATCTTCCTGCAGCACACACTATGCAGAGACAGAAAGTACTTCACATCATTTGTCCTCACACTGCAACGATTGCTTTGTCCAATGTTACTAGGGAAGACTACACTCACACAGGAGAAGATGGCTTCTTTACCTGAAACATCTTTACTCTTTACAATGAGAGGTAATCCAGGTCACTGTCCCAACACACAGCAGACCCATAATGACCTGTACAAGGAAAAGGCAGATCCATCCCTTCCCCAGAACTGTCCATATCCATTTCTCAAATGTATGTAAGTAAATTCACTTTTTACAGCACTTTGCATCAGACTTCAAAGCAGTTTACAAAAGATTTTATAGTTACATTCTTTCTATTCCTTATGCAGAGAGATACATAAAGAATGACATCAGAATAAACAGCGATTTAACAGAGGTAACATCCCTTTTGGATGGCAACATACGAAGCAAACCAGGCAGCGAGACACTAAGGAACGTTCTCATGCTGCAGGCATGAGCTGCAACACAAAGTGATCTTCATAAAACCAGCAAGCACAAGGTGTCTGGCATAGCACATGCTTGATTATGCCCAAATGTATTTCACCATTTAATTAACTACAATCCATGGGCTCAGAAATGACATCTGGTTGGGCTGTTACACCTGAAATGTTGTATTTATTTGTCTCTACAGTAAATTTGTTTGAGCTTTGCTACTGATACTTTATCATACAAACCTCTTTAGACATACTTCAGTGAAATAATGTAAATAATTGCTAGATGCAGCTAGATTCAACAAATGTAAAGCACGCAGCCAAATTCACTAAGATTGAGTTCTAAATGGATGATCCTATACCTTTACAGTACTGACACCGTCCCCACTGTCAATCACTTTCCTTCAGCCACCTATTTTTACGGACCCACCAGAAATCAGTCTGCAATTGAACTTCTGTCCTCTTGTTCTCAGTCTCTTAAAATGAATTACAGTTCTGAGACAGCTAAAGGGCTCCCAACAGTGCAAGCAAAACTTAATGTTTACTGGTTTTGCTGGAGGGCGCAGAGGTGAAGAAAAGAGTTGAGAGCAGTGGCTATGTCTTGAAGAGCTGGCCATGCTGCTTCTAATGCTGCTACAAAGTCCTGTTTCCCTCCACTCACCATCACCACACCAGACTCCCCAGTCTTTCTCTTGGATGTGTTACATATATCAAGCTATGTCACAGGAAAGTCAGCAGTGATCCATGATTAATGTGTTGCCTCACAGCAAAAGCAAGACCCAGGCAACAATAAGTCAAAATAATTTTATATAAAGAATTTTGTCTTGTCCTCACCCTTGAAAATAAAAAATTCATTATATACCTTTTGATTACTACATGAAGTAAGGAAACAACAGAGTTGCCTTTGCCTCAGTCATTCTACCAGCCCCTGTGATCAGTGAAAATGTTCAACAAGAACTATCACCACTGGATGAGGACTGAATCAGGGATTACTTGAGAGAACTCAAACCATAAGGGTATACAGGACATAATGGGTTGTATCCAAAAGAGTTCAAGACAAGGGGGAATGGGTTTAAACTTAAACAGGGGAAGTTCAGGTTAGATATAAGGAAGAAGCTCTTTACTGTGAGGGTGGTGAGGCACTGGAATGGGCTGCCCAAAGAAGTGGTAAATGCTCCATCCTCAGCAGTGTTCAAGGCCAGGCTGGACAGAGCCTTGGGAGACATGGTCTAGTGTGAGGTGTCCCTACCTGCAGCAGGGGGTTGGAACTAGATGATCTTAGGGTCCTTTCCAACTCTAACTATTCTATGATTCTAAGAGAACTGGCCAATGTCCTTTTAACACAACTCTGCATTATCTTTGAAAGGTCATGGAGACTGGGGGAGATCCCTGGTGGCTGGGGGAAAGTAAGTGTCAAGAAAGGCCAGAAGTATAATCCAGGGAAATACAGCCAAGACAGATTCACTTTTGTCCTTGGAAAAAAATCAAGGAGCAAATAATCTTGGAGCACATTTTTGAGAAAAGAGTGTCTGGAAACAGAAAATGGATTTCTGTACGATAAATCATGCTTGACCAATGACTGATTTATGGATACTGGTACAATGACTTGATTTATGGATGAGGGAAGAGCAACAGATGTCATTTACCTTAATTTTAGAAAGGTCTTTGATATTGCCTGCCACAATATTCTTGTATCTGGATGGAGGGAAACCAGATGGGTAAAAATCTCACTAGACAAAAGAATAGTGGTTAATGAGTCAAGTGGTTAATGAGTCAGCCTGAAGGCTGGTAAAAATCCTACAGCTAGTAGGGAAAAGTAAAAGCTCCCTGCAACCGATAAAAACATGAAATGATCACTTAAGATGACATGAATGACACCCTTTAAGCCTAGAAAGTGATAATGTGCTCAGTGCAACACTAATGTCTCACAAAAATGTCCCTACAGCACAAAGTGACAGTGTTGAAGATGAGCCAACATCCTATTTAAGTCCAAATCAATTTAAATCATTGATCATTAATCATAATTCAAAACTGGATTAAAATTAGTATTTTAAAAGTGATAATTCACAGGGGGGCTTATTTCTGAAGTAAAATGGCTTAAAAATATATTAATTCTGGCTTATTTCAGATGAGGTATCATATTATGCAAATAATAGTAGTGCTAAGCACCCTACAAACCAAATACTTTAGTCCCCAGTGAAATTTTAGCCCCTTCTAGATGGGAAGCCACACTCCTGATGTCACACAACCTTAAAAGCTTTTCATAAAAAGCAAATACTTGGATGTAGTACTGAAGTATCTGAATTGGCCTGCTTATTTGGGGCTGTGAAAAGGCAGAGGGCTTTGTTATGATCAGCACTTATTGCATATGGCATGTTCTATTATTACTACTGACATGCTAATAAATAACTTGTGAATTTACTGCAACTATCAAAAGTAAATTAAAAAATATTGCCCATAAAGAGATAAGAATCCCACTGCAGTGGATGACCAATCCATTTCCAAAGTAATGCTTTGCAACAGCTGGTGTCTCAGGCACAAGTTAGTTAAAGCCTGCTGTGTTGATTGATGATATAGGAAAAACAAGCTGCCAAGTGCCTTGGCTTCCCTGGGAGAGCCACGTGCAGAAGCTAGTTGAGGTTCAGCTTCCTCTGCTGCCAACCTTAGGGAGATTAAGCACTGAATTATGGCCTGCAGTCCAAATCCATCAAAAATTGCAGTCATCTGCAGATGTTTTTAATCTTAATTTGTTGGCATTTCATCTTGCAAAGTAAAGTTCAGGGGGAGCAGCTTGCTTCATCATGCACGGAAACTCAACTACCAAGTGCATAGCTGCCTGCAGCTCAGAACAGGGAAATTCAGGAACACCATGTGTCAGAAGCACCGATCTCCCTCAGAGTCAGCTCAGGGAGAGGTGTGCTCGCTGCAGGCTGGGGCTTACTGCACTGGTCAATCCTTAGGAAAAAATACTAAATTTACATGTGTCTTGATAATCACTTTTAATTCAGTAATCCCACAGAAAATAAATAATCAGATTTATTGATTTCACATCAAACTGTTTTGATTGCCAGCAATCATATATTCATCTTTTTTTTCTAATAAACAGACCGCTCAAATAATATGTCCTTTTCACATGACAGTGAACACTTACCACTTTCTAATAGCAGTAAGTAAATTTCATTGTCACATCATTGCTCGTATTTATTTTACTTCTGGTAAGCCTAAAATTAGCCATCATCATTAGAACAACTAATAAAGCCAACAAAAACATCTTCGCAGTATGTAATACCATCTCCATACTTTGATAAAAATGCTTTCACTAGTTAAAGTTTACTGGAATATTCTTGTGGAAAGCATAGAATGGTTTAGGTTGGAAAGGATCCTATGATCATCCAGTTCAACCCCCCACCATGGGCATGGACACCTTCCACTAGACCAGGCTGCTCAAAATCCTGTCCAACCTGGCCTTGAACACTGCCAGGGATGAAGCATTCACAACTTCCTTGGGCAGCCTTGTCCGGTGAAATTACGTACATTTGCTGTCTATGGTCTTCATATTACTAAAAA